CAACTGCAGTTATAGACAGCAAACGCCACAGTGGGAAATATCTTTTGAGAATGCTCAGAGTGAATGAGTGCAAATATCCATCTAGGAAAGAGGGGTCTGGAAACATCCAGGCTATGAACAAACACTTCCTGCCATCTCATTGACTTTGAAACACACCACTACTTTGTAGCATAGTGTTCCCTATGATGATACATACGGAAAAAAGTTATATGAACACCAAAACCCATTACTGTAGAGTCCAGTCTGACTCATGGCAACCTCCATAGGGTTTCCTTGGCTGTCATCTTTATGGAAAGAAGGCCTAGCAGTACAAATGGCTGCTAACTGAAAGGTTGGTAGTTCCAACTCATCCAGTCATTCCACCAGAGAGAGACCTGTGGTCTACTTCCATAAAAGTTACAGGCAAGAAAACCCTATGAGGTGGTTCTACTCTGTCACAAAGAGTCAATATGAGCCGAAAACCAACTCAATGGCACCTAACAACATCTATGTTGGAAGTAGATCACCAGGCCTTCTCTTCGGCAATGCTACTGGGTTACTATCCAAGAGCACACCATTTGAGTCACCCAGAGACTTCTTATGCTAACACAGGATCTCAAGTTTATGCCTTTAGAAAGGTTTCCATTAATAAAACTATTTTGAAATTCACATTCAAAATCCAATGCCTTGTATGAAAATCTCCATACAATCTCAGCTAGATTGTGTATTTCCCATCCTCCGTGTAATTAGAACCAGACAGAAATGTACAGAGTTTCTTGAGCTTTCCAGGCCACACACTTTCGCTTTGGAAGTTCGAACTAAGGTTGTTTAGCATTGGGTTGTTTTAAATGTAGACCATTCCGTCATTACCAAATAAACATAATAAGTTTTAACACATTAATGCACTGTTACTATTTAGCAAACAAATGCCATATAGCCCACCCTCCTAGGAGGCAAACACACCCGGAATCCAAGATTGTAAAGAGCTGCAGGGTGCTTCTCATCAGAATCTCACAGAACATTCCTCTTTCTGAATTGCAGGGCAAACCCTCGGAACTTTAATTTTGACAATGTGGGGAATGCTATGTTGGCATTGTTTGAAGTTCTCTCCTTGAAAGGCTGGGTGGAAGTGAGGGATGTTATTATTCACCGTGTGGGGCCGGTAAGCAAGCATATCAAATCCTTTGAACGCTTCAAGAGCTGCTTTCGTTTGCTTTGATGAATAACCATATTTTTCATTTATGCAGATCCATGGAATCTATATTCATGTTTTTGTATTTCTGGGTTGTATGATTGGACTGACCCTTTTTGTTGGAGTGGTTATTGCTAATTTCAATGAAAACAAGGTAAGAGTTCTTGGTTTGAATGAATACCACAGGTATATTCTTTTCTAGCTACTTTGAGGATTTTTTCCCCACACACACTGCATGAAGTATTACTGTAATGTGACTGATGTAAATAATCTCTATGACTATTTTACAAGCTTCCTCACTGCTGCCTTTCAGGCACATTATTTCAGAGTACAAGTCTCTTGCTAAATTTACGCATTTGGTAACCGTGTCATTCATTAATCCAATGACAACTGAAAGAAGCACCTCCTATTGTTCAAATTGAAAGGAGGTGCAGCAAGTTATTAAAATACAATAGCTGAAACTGATTCAGTGTCGCAGGTAATATTACTTTCACAAAATGTAAATCATACGCTTCCTTGTAACTAAGTAGTTGCACTCACTCAGAATTTTTATAAAGTCGGGGTATGGTAGAAATTTTAAAATTCTTATTTTTTGTAGAATGAAAAGAAGATTTTTCTAATTTCAAATAATCTTTACATACTTTACATATTTTATGCACCCAGGAAACATGCTGAGTTCAAACAGTTCTATATTATCAGTAGAAGGGCTCACAGATGGGAAAACAGCACGTGTAGTTTCCTCTCAGAATTGTTCCTTAGAGAAGTGTTGTCATTCTCCTGGACATGCTGACATACCCTCTCGTGTATAAGGGTCAGTATTTGGAACCAGAATAATTGAAATGCATACCATTTTTGAGCACGTTCATAGTACTAAGGTTTTACATAGCTTTTTATCATTTCTTACAACTCTGAAATGCAATTGAAGAAAAGGAGACTTACAAAGGTTAAATAACTTGCCTGAGGGGTAAAAACTGGAACTAAGATTCAGAAGCAGGTCTTATTACTGCAGGCTCTGTTATTCTTCGAATGCAAGAATATAAAAATATCAACGGTCTTTCTGCCTTGAATTATAGTGAGATTTGCCTGCGAAGCACCGTGCTGTTAGATGTTATTCATGGCAAGGACTGATTTGCACGCATTCACATCAGAGCTCTGTGGTTTGTGTAGCTACACATGGGACTGTATCGTTCACTGTCCCCAGGCTCAACGTGTGTGGTAGCAGTTACTCATTTCTAGAGCTGCCTCCAGCAGATTGCCACCTTTGATGTGTGCCTAATGAGTATGTCATTTCATCGGGGCTTTCAAAGGGTGTGATTTGAAAATCCCTTCTTTGGACCCCAACACTACTCTAATCCATAGAAATACAGAATTTTAGAGTTACAGAGAAAGGTAGAGATCATGTAGCCCTGCCCCCTTATTTTATTTCCTAACACATTCATAAGATGAGTTGCTCTAAACCCCACAGTGTATTCAATTTAATACCAGGTGGAAAGAAGAAGATGGGTCTTTTTAGTTGCCTTTGAGCCATGCTATGTAGCAGACTCTGGAAATTGCAGAAGATGGACCAAGTTGAGAGTTTAAGCACTGCTTACTCAGAAAACCACAGGAGCCCCTCTGAGCAGACCCCTGACTTCAAAAGAGTTAAGTCCTAGGGCTGCTCACAATTCAGCAACATAAATGAAACAACATAAAGTGGTTAATACATGGAAACAAATATATATAGTTCAGTGCAACTCTTGAACTTAGAGTAATGACTGAAGTAAACCAAAGAGTCAGTGTAGTACTGTCTGCTCTAACATTCTGAAGAAAGAAAAGAACCTTCTTAGCCTGAGTTAAGGGACACATATGTAAATTCAAAAGGTGCTTAGGGAAAGAGGAAAATTAGAAGAAATTCTGTTACCAAACATTGCATACTTGATTAGTTCATTTATGTGAACTTTGAGAAAATATTTTTTCCTTCAAGATTTTAGAAGCTACTATATAAAAGCATTTACTCATTACTATCTGCTCAGTAAAATCCCTGTTAACACACTTGGCTACTAAATGAAAGACTGGAGGTTTTGGTCAAATCTGAAGAAAAGCCTGGCAAACTACTTCTGAAAAATCAGCCCTGAAAATCCTATGCACGGTTTTACCTTGGCAAACATGGGGTCACCACGAGTCAGATTGACTCTATGGCAACTGGTTGGTAGTATTCATTCAACAGATTTATTTTGAGCACCGATTAGTTGCCAAACACTATTCTTGGCACAAAGACTTAGCAATGTACTATATTCTGTCCTCATGAAGCTTACACTTTACTGTCATGTTTTTGTTGTTGCTGGGTGTCACTGAGTTGATTCTGGCTCCTAGTGACCTTCATGACCAAGTGGAATTGCCCCATTGGATTTTCCTGGCTGTAATCTTTATGGGAACAGATTGCCAGGTTACTTCCATGGAGCTGCTGGGTGCATTTGTACTGCCAACCTTTAGACTAGCAACCAAGCGCTTATATGTGAGTCATACCTAAGGTTATAGGTATAACTATTAGTTTGCTAAATATATAGGCAATAGAGAGATAAAAAGATATTGGAAATAATATAAGTTTTGAGGCAACGTTTTCACAATTGAAGATTATGCAAGGCAGGAACAATAGCTCCTTGTTCTTTAAGAATCAGAATGCTTTCCTTAGAAAATGGAACTCTTTTAAAAAATGAAAATCTATATCAGTAATATGGTTTTTAATTTCCCTACTATGTTTTTATTCTTTTCTATCCTTTCATAGTTCAAATTTTTCAAAATTTCCTCTCTTTCTATAATGAAGGAATAATGTTAATTTCTATAGTGTCTAC